TTTTTTTTTTTTTTTTTTTTTTTTGTTTTTTTTTTTTGGTTTTTGGTTTATCCATCTCTTATTTCTCTTATTCCCCTCTCCGTCTTTCTGCTTCTCTCTGGTTTTCGTACTTAAGCGCTAGCACCCTTTACGAGGCCTTTTCTCAATCTCGGGTATGGCGGCCTCGAATTTGAGGGACAAACATTACCAACATCACGCTGCTATCTGTCAAGGCGAGTGCTTATGGGTTACTCGAGACAAACAACATCCACGTTGGGCATCAACCGGTTGGCCGCATCGTCGTCCACCCGAAATGTACTTGGCCCCCCATCCATACCGGCCAAAACTCACCGCTGTCAACTAGCTACCGCGGCTACTTATCCTGTCCCGATATGCACTCGCCCGCGGACCAGTGATGATTGAGATCCACTGGCCCCTGTGAATTGATGCAGATTGGGGCAAAGCGGTCAAATATTACTTCGCCTCCTCATTCACATGGACCTGTGGAAAGAGATGCTGTCACCCGGGCTGCCTATTGCCGCTGTGCAATCATTCGTATTCCTGCCTCTGTCCATCCGGCTGCGTCTAGTCTTTGAGGCGTTTGTATGACTTACCATTTGAGATATGGTTTTCACGGCGAGCACGGGTTCCATCAGGCATACCTGAGTGTCAACATCAAACAGACCATGTAATTCGTTGCTTTGGCCTAGAACAAACGTGTTTGGACAAGACTGGCAACCCGTACGTCGAGTACCTCAACCAGCCTCGCTTGACTCGGCATATCTCTTTTCTCTTGCAACCTTGCAAGATATATAAATGCACCTTTCCCACTGGACCAGCTGAACAAGCGACATACACACCGCAGTTCCTTTCTTTTCTTTTCTGCGCTTCACACAGTCACGCCCACACCTTATGATCCCCCCGTCATCAGCATTCACCCCTCTCATCATCAATGTAATTGAGACGCCCAAATTAAACCCTTTCCTCTTCTCCGTGGGAGACCGTTCTTCTTCGACGGCCGCAGTTCCCGGTTCTTAATCCGGAGGCCAAGATTCGCCCAAAGACAGTCCTCTAGTCTCGCTAAAGAGGATGGCCTCAGGTCCTGGGCTTTTCTCGAAGCTAGACTCTGGGGGAGGTTCCGCCGGGGAGAATCCATACCTTCGCTCGGGGAAGAGTGGTTGGGTACCCTCTGGTGAGTTTGTGAACTCGAGCTGTGTTATGCTTGTGATGCCGTTACTGACGCGGGACGCCTTTTTCTAGAACGGCCATATTCACTCACCTAAGGACCTCATCCATGTCACCTCTCAGTTATATATACACCTTGCTTCGCACCAAAACCCTACCACGGTCGCTCACATTCCTCCGACCCACCGCCAATCAAGCAGTATCAACTCACAAAATGTGTGCCCAAAGCCAGCCAATACGAGACAAATCACCTATCTGAAGCAACTCCCTTACTAAAATCGGAACCGAACGTCTTGCCTGCCGCGGACGCTTCCCTCAAACAGGCCTCCTCTAGACCACTGAAGGGATGGGCGAGGACAGTCCCAGGCAACACTGCCGAGGAGACCAAAAACGACTTACGGCCAAGCATCAAATCTGCCACATTTCAGAAAGCAGAGTTCGACAAGCTGCGCCTCCCTTCTCACTCCCATGGACCTCCTCAAACCCGTCGACGCTAGGAATTCTCGAAGCAAGCCTTGGGGACAGCGGCTTTTCAGCCGTCATCCCGTGGGACGTCCCCCCCCCGGTTCTGTCCGGTCCGACCATAATATTATCGCGCGCAGACAAAAAGGAACGCCGACACACAATGTTTCTCCTGGAGTTCCATATCCCACTGTCTTGGGGGGATCTTTTCCGGCGCACTGTACTTTTGCAACACACGGCCATCCCAACAGACTTCCGGAGCTGGCCTGGCAGAAGAAGTTCCCGGCCGTGAATGCGGGGAGGGGTCACCGCCAAAGGCCGCCATGGGCCGGCGACGTCCGTTGGGCCACTGGGGGAGGGCGGGAGCAATCGTGGGTACTTCTTGTGATGCTCGCGCTTTTTGTGGGATTTTTCTTATTTTTCTTCCCGGGGTCCTGGGTTGTTACGTTGTTTTGACGTTGTCCTGGATGGATGTCTTTTCTCAGAGAGGGGTTCCGGCGGCCTGACGGGATGAATTGCGATCGTTGGACTCAAAACGAGCCCGAAGACAACAAGGAAAGAAGAGATAGACTCGACCCCACCATTTCATTCTCACACCCTCCCTTCCATCCTCCATCTATTCCCAATCCCCCCTCTCACTCCCCCCAACGCCCCCGCCCTAACCATCTCCATAGCCTCTCGTGTCTCTTAACCAACCCCCGAAAAGTCAAGCCAAGTCATCCGAAGTGCAAACAAGTCAAACAAGTCAACGCCAAGTCCACCAATCAGGATCCCGCTAGGAAATATGTCGGTCGGACATGGTTCGGAGATAAGATCGCCAAGCGGCCCGGCCCGCAATTTCTGTGGGGCCTTTCCCTCCAAAGAAGGCCCACATGGTTTTTGAGTTGTTTTCACACACCCGATCCCAATCCCAATTCCTGTCCTGCTCATAGCTCGGTTTCCGAAGTATTTGCTTGTTAGCTTGGGTTTCAAGGAAGATGAAATATTACGCTTTTATCTTTTTCTGGGATCTGTCGGTTTCTTTGGATGCAATGGAGATATCACTCTTGACGCAAGCGCCTACCTAGCTATCCTCCCAAACTTGCTCTCCCTCTAAACGAACATCTTCACTCACATCCATTCACGCAGCTCAAAAACAACTAATCCTCAAAACGCAGTGGCTATACCATGCATGCAATGCACCTCAAATTTCCAGTTCCTCACACCAACTTCCCCGCTCTCTCATCCCAAAAGCTAAGGTATACCAGAATAGATGCTGATCCCCCTCCCCAACACTATCTATAGCGAGTAACTGTATCATACACACGCCGCCTTGTTACTGTACCGATATGCAAATGCAATGCGATGCGCCCAACCAGCCTGGAACCAAACCTATACCGATGCGCCTGCCCCTACCAAAAACCAAGAACCCAATGCATAACCCAAAGCACGGCCCGTTGAACCCCCAAAAACACCCCTAACTAAACACCACCCTCCCCTGACTAAACATCACCATCACCATCACCATCAACAACACAACACCCACGCCACCGCCCGACCACCACCACCACCACCACCAACCCCGCACCCGCACGACGGCGACCACTCCTAGCGTGACGTCGTCGGTCCAAGCTTATGGAACCACCTCGCCAACCTGGACCGCATCCCCGGTTTTTTCTTCGCAGCAGCAGCAGCTTTCCCACTGTCCCCCCCGTGGCCGGCCAATGATAGACCCCCTGCCTCCTTTTCCTTAGAAGTCCGCTTGGTTTTGTCTTTCTTGGTGCTCTTGGGTGCTTCGGCGATTTTTGGTGGTACATGTACAACAGGGGTTTCGGTCTCCTGCGCTGTAGTGGTGGTGATATCATCGATCACTTCGCCGCCCTCTTCCTCACCAGCGCTGTTCATCGCAGAGAACGAGCTGGATCCCAGCCTTCGGCCGCGGATAAATGCCGTGCCCGTGCTGGAGATTGCGCGTCTAGGCGGGGACTTGGCCGTCCCCGCGGGAACGGGACTGATAGTCGGGGCGTTTTGCACCGGTGTCGAGGCGCGGGATATTACCGGCGTCGGAGCGGCCGAGGTATTGTGGCTGTTCAGGCCAGACGAGGTATCGGCTGATTGAGCGGGGAGGGAGTGCCGTTTGAAGACCCCTTTGCTTACCACCGCATCACATCCGAATCCGCGGGATGGGTCCCCACCGCCGGAGAGGGGTCGATCGGTAGGGCGCGGGGTATCTGAGGTTGAGGAGCGCGTGGTCCAGGTATTCCTACGGCTGCGGCCGGCGCGGTGGCTTGCGGTGGTTACGGATGAGGAGGAGGCGGCTGTGGACTCGGAGTGAGCCGTGGCATGGATCGAGTTATAGCTCTGAGACCAGCCGGCCCGGAGACATACCCATAGGGCGGTCACCGAGATCAGGGATTTGGTTGCTTCGTCGATCTGGTGGGTTGTGCGCCGCGATTCGTAACTTGGAGAGGAAGGGATCCATACGCCGGAGTCGTTCTCGCTGTCGTTGGTGGAAGTGGAACCGACGGAGGAGATGTTGGAGGGGGAGTAAGGCGGTGTGCGTGTGAATGATGGGGATGAGGTCACAGACTGGGAACGGCTTGCGCGAGTGACCGGTGGGTGTCGGGCGTGAGATGTAGAAACAGAAGTGTATGTGTCTTGGACCTCGAGAGTCGAAGGTGTAAGTGTGGCCATGACCGGGTGGCGGCGGGTAAGGGGGTTGATGATGCTGAAAGTGTAGCGCGCCTGGCTCGCGACCGAGGAGGAGGATGCGTCGGTGGTCGGAGTCGTAGCCGGCGTAGGATTCCTGCGCGCCCACCGCACATTTGTGGTTTCCCCACCGGAATCGGTGTACACAAAGTCGAAACAGCCATTGGGGAGCAGTTTGGCGAGCCAGACGGAACCATCGTCAAGCACAATCTCGGCCTCTTCCGAGTGTTTCAACGGGCTGTAAACGGCCACTGGATTCCTCCAATCCATGCTGTCCTCCTGGTCACTCTCCGTGCCATCTCCACTCGTATCGTCATCATCTCTCCTGACCAGTACAATATCGTCAAACCCGAGGTGACGCTTGACTTCTGATATGCCAGGGAACCGCTTCGCCGAGCGGGCGGGCCCCGCAATTCGCGACGCTGGGAAGACCTCGAGGACCGGCTTGGACCTCCCCTCAGCCGAGACTTCCTGAAGCTGCAGAAGCAGCCTCGGCAAAAAGACCTTCCGCACGACCTTTGTCTTCCCAATGATCCTCGGCGCGGGGTACCCCAGATAGTACGTAGTACTGGTGCGGGCTGCTCGACGGGTCCGTCGACGACGGGGTGAAGGGGCGAATGCAGCACCGTCAAGAGAAGTCACATCACTAAGTTCGGACTCGGAAGCGGGCTCGTCGTTTACGGAGGGGGTCGGTGGCAAGCTGTCATCGTTGTCTTGCGGTTCCTGGAAGCGCACGACAGCGGAGGACTCGCGGGGAATGTAGTCGGACGCGGGGCGTTGTCGGAGGACGGGCGACCGCGTGCCGTCCGCGGCAACTCGCGAGCGCTGTTTTGGCGGTGAGAAAGCGGACCGGAGGAGCGGCCCTCGAAGGTGTGCGGGAGACTGCGCGGCGTTTGGGGGGGTTCGGGACGAGTACTCGTGCCCGTGAAGGCTCGCGCCCGAGTGGAGGAACATGGCTATGGGGTGAACGAGTGCATCTAGGTCAAAAGCCTAGAAGGACGCCATGTAAAAGGGCAGGCTGCGGTGAGAGCTTTCCGCCGCCCGGAGGCAGGGCTGAATTTTGCCCAACTCTCAAATTTTCCAATCGTGAACGTCCTCTCGTAGAATTTGGCGAAGCTGCAATGTCATAAAAGCTCCACCAATTGCTGCGACTCCACTAACGGCTGGGGCCGAGAAGGGATCGTCGAAATGGAAGCCGGCGTCGAAGTACAAAAAAATAAAAGGGCGTGATGATTGTCGAGTATCTTAACTCCAAAAGGCTACCGTCGATTGGCGAAAATGCTGAGAAGGAGCGAGCGACACCGGCATGTGCATGAGTGTTGGTTGTCTCACTTAAGACGACGTTAATGGAAGGCACAGGATCCTCCGGCAATGCAGCGCGGCCCTATGGCGATCGAATTTCTGTACCTTTGCGGCACCGAGCGTCATCCGTTTCGAGCTCCACGAGGGTAGTGTGCGGTTGTGGCTGCGGCGTATAAAATGGAATCAAGGGCCGAGGAAAGAGGGTCAAGAAAACCAAAGAATTCGAAACTTGTCAATCCAGCACATGGTCTTTGCCGTGTTGGCCAAGGGGAATCTTTGAAAAGGGGGAAGGGAAATGGTACGGTACCTGCCTTTGAATTGGATGGAAGAAATGCACCTGGATACATAGATGTTCTGCTATAGGTGAGGGTCCCTGCACAAATCCCAGCTGGGCCCCGCGCCGGAGACGGGCTGGTTGCTTGGCCCGAGGCCGCCAGTGCATGTGAGCCTGTGAGGTGGAGCCATACCGCCTATGGAGCGGGCCCTGGGAGCTGGAACTCTCCGCGCGTTGGCCCCGACTTGTCTCATTGGCCCCTCACACTTGGTGTTCCCCAACCTTGACGACGTCAAGACTCGACGGGACGACGAATGATCGAGAGATCAGCGGCCTGTCCGACGCAATATCAAGAAAAAGGAGGGAGGAATCAAAGGAAGTCGCCTTCCACCGTTTCCTCAACCCGAGGAACTACAAGGATACAGTGAGCAAGTCGAAAAGAAATGCTGCTTGAGACAAAATTGGAAAAACAGTTCGAAGCGGTCGGTCGGAATCGCGGCCCAACCCATGGCAGACACCCACCAATTTTCACCAGGCTGGCCAACTGAGGTTAGCCTCGTTTCGCGGTCGGTTGGTGCGGCCCAGACTTCCAAAAAGCTTCCTCTTACAAGTTCAGACTGAGACAATCACACTCAACATCGTGCGTCGCCAACTGGTATTGGTTGATCTCACACCCGCTGTTTTAACGGGTATTCGTAGACATCCTGTACATAGCACTGTGGGTGGTACTACCCAGCTTGGGGGCCCACGCGCCCGGTAACCTCGGGATGGGTGATGGGTGTTTTGTGATCATACCGAAGAGTTGGGCCAGCATCTCCGCTAGGTAAGAAGAGCCCGACTCCGAACTCTCCGGCCGTTTGTTAACTACATAGTCGCCGTTCAAAACTGGATCTCGAAATCGGTGGTCCTGAACCCCGATATCCGCCCCGGCTCCCAAGGATCCCCATTCCAGGGTTCCTTGGCGTTCCACCATCTCCTTGATCATTCTTCAAGAAGCGGGCTCGCGGAGGCGCGAATTGCAAAATTGAAGCTTGGCTTATGGGCCGAAGGAAATCCCTTCGCTTGCCGGGGTGTAAAAGGAAGAACAGACCCCGCTGGAATGGAATTCCCTCTCTCTGAGGATATTTTTACTGACCTCGTGCGCCGAACACGCCGTGCACGCCGAGGAAGAGGAAATGTCGGAAAAGATTCAAGGTCGCGAGTTGCCGTCCGCCTGCAACCGAAAGCAGCAGAGTTGCATCGCGTGCGGCTTTTCCGCATTTGATGTGTCACGCTCCGGCATCCGGCACGCTTTGAGGTTCATCAAAAGTGTGGCTGAGCTGCATGTTGACGCCACAGCAGAAGATCTTCACATGGTGGCAAGCCACACTCCTGAGATGAAGGAGTGGGGCCTCTCGCGTGTTCTCACCGACGCCAAGACCGACCTCCATCTCAGGCAGTCGACATCCAACGCCGGCCATCTTGCAACGTGAAACCGGCACAGCATACCACAGGCCTCAGTGTCAATTTTAGCAACACCCGGCCAATTCGCCCGTACCCAATTACGTCATGCATGAATTCTGAAAGAATCGGGCAAAGAAAAAAAAGCGGGAAAAAAAAAAAGAAGGAGCCTGATCAGATGAACCACAGGGCCACCACGCGCCCAGACACACCTACTCACTCACACCATGTCCGCTCGACCGCGTGATGAGGCTCACCCAGCCGTCGCCCACGCTTATCCTCCGCCTCAACCACAACCCCACGCCCAACCATACCGCACCATCCTCGCTACTTTTGCAGCCTGGAAATTCTTCCTTCTAGCCCTCTCCCTCGGTAGCAGTCTTGTCGGCGATACCTACGACACCTCGGCCGGGCTGTTTCTGCTCGACGGTCAGTTGGGCAACGGCAACGGCACCGATAACAGCACTGGTACCGGGAGTGGGTTTGGAACAGGGAAAGTGACGGGATTGGTTGCCCGGTTGTGCAGCTGGGATGCTATCTACTACGTCAGTGCTGCTCGCCATGGGTACCGGCTAGAGCAGGAGTGGGCGTTTGGGGCCGGGCTCCCAACTGTGGCCCGTAGTTTGCTGAAGGGTGAGTGAGAAATGAGCTGAGATGAGAGTTGCACTGAGTTGTGTTGTTCGTGATGAAGGTCATAAGACTCGCTTGACTTCCCTCGGCCCCTTTCCAGAAACCCATTCAGACAAAGCAGGCAGTTTAACACACCCCCACCACTAGTCCTCACCTCCCTCGGCATCCTCGGTACCTCACCCCCACTCTCACCCACCACCCCCGAAGCAACACCCACCGTCAGCCTTCTCCCCGAGGCCCTCGCCAGCATCCTCATCGCCAACACCGCCCACCTACTCGCCGCCCTGGTCCTCTACCGACTCGGCCGAACCATCCGACACAACCAAACCCAGTCTCTCCTCGCCGCCCTCCTCCACATCTTCTCGCCCGCGGGCCTCTTCCTCTCCACCCCCTACAGCGAAAGCTCCTTCGCCCTGCTCGCCTTCACAGGCTACCTCCTCTTCGCCCTCGGCTCCCAGGCCGACGGCGCGGCTAGCCCCACCCGCCGGGACCTCTCCACCATCGCAGCAGGCGCCTTCTTCGGACTCGCCACGGCCTTCCGCAGCAACGGCATCCTCAACGGTCTCCCCTTCGCCTGGGAGGTCCTGCGCAACCTGCCGCGGCTGGCCCAGCAACCCGTGGACACCCTCCGGCGACTGGCGGCGCTGGGCGTGGGCGGCGTGCTGGTGGCGGCTGGATGGCTCGGTCCGCAGGCCGTGGCGTATTCGCAATACTGCCACGCGGTGGACGACCCGCGGCCGTGGTGTGAGGGGTATTTGCCGAGTATTTTTACGTTTGTGCAGCAGCATTATTGGTGTGTTTTTTTTCTCACTATCCCCTGATCTCTTACTTAACTTGACTTACCCTTATCCTTTCCACCCTACCGTTTTCTCATATCCTCCATCATATCATCCCTCCCTCTATACCCCAACCTCATTACCATCCCCATCATAATGACCACTAACATCCCTACCCAGGAACGTCGGTTTCCTCCGCTACTGGACCCTCCCCAACCTCCCCCTCTTCTTCCTCGCAGCCCCAATGCTTACCATCCTCGCCACATCCGCTGTATCCCACCTTAAAACTAACCACCACACTCAAACTCACACTACCACCACCAAACACACCAACAACACCAACACCGCCAACACCACCAAAAACACCAACCACACGAACAACACCACCAACAACAACAACAATGACACCCTAACAACCGCCCGCCTCCAAGCCCTCCTCCACGCAGCCGCCTCCGCCGAACTGCTCCTCTCCCTCCTGGCCTTCACAACGTACCACGTACAAATCATCACGCGTATCTCCTCCGGCTGTCCCGTCTGGCACTGGTGGTTAGCCGGACGTCTTGTGCAGGGAGAAGGAGACAAGAAAGGTAAAGGGGCTAAAACCAAAAGTAAAGACGCTGCAGGAACAGGAGGAACAGGAGGAACGCGGATCGTCATGTTCATGGTAATTTACGCTTGTATTCAGGGCGTGCTTTTCGCTACGTTTCTTCCCCCGGCGTAAACGTAAGCGCTGCCGCTTTGTTTTGCTTCTTTGTTACATTCGCAAATGTTACCACACGTTAATGTAATTTTCTCTTCTTGCTTTTTTTAATCCATCATGCTGTCCAAACCCCTACTGTTGCATATTCCTGCGGTCCAACGGCAAATCAAGAGTTTCGAGGTGATAGGTAAGGTAAGAAGTGTGCGAACCATCGTCAGGATACCCTTCTCCCCTCCACCCACCATGCCTCACTCACTCAGGATCACATTTTACACCACCAAAATGTGCCTGCTCACAATCCAGCCCGCTCGCACCATCCACATCCACGCAATAAACGGCGATAGCCAGAACCCCAACACGCCCCCGTACAAGGCCTTGAATATCATGCCAGCCCAACGGCCTAGATATATCCAATCCCCATTATACCGCTCCCCCGCCAGCATGCTGAGCCCGACTGTCGGCCCGATCATGAGCACAATGGCAGGGAACCCCATCAGCAACCCGCGCCCCACACCAGCCAGGAAAAAGCTGACCGCAGCACCGACCCTGCCGAGGCCGGCAGACAACCGCTGCATATTTAGACTCCGAGTACGCGCAGGAGCAGGAGAAGAATCACCAGAAGAGGCAGGAGAAGCAGCGGCGCACAGGTTCCCGGCCTGGCACAGTCGCGTGCCCTGTCTGCCAAACCACACGCGGCGCGAGAAACACGCCGATCCCCTCGTGGAATTGTAGTGGTCCAGCATGAAAAACCAACGCCAAAAGGCACTGGTAGGCTCCCTGAACAAGGTAGGATTGTGGGGCTGCACCTCGCCGCGGGAGATGGAGCGGTTGACCAAGTACGCGAGGATTAACCAGGTGATGACGCTCTGGATGAACGTGGTGAAGGTCGCGTCGACGATCAGCGAGAGAGGCGGGCTAAAGAGAAAGGGCGGGATCGAGCCTTCCGGGGGAGGGCCCGGAGGTGGGCGAGGGGACGAGTAGACGGCTGTGGCCAAGTCAGTCTTCAGGGTTACACGTACCCTTAAACAAACCGTGGTGAAACACAAGGACGGAACAAAACTCAAAAAAAAAAAAAACAACTCACGATAAGCAAACGCAGCGTTCAGCCCCCCCGCAATCACCATCGACGGGATCGCCTGCGACAGCAGCAGGTACGAAAGCTGCCGCCCGTTGAACCACGCCCTAGGATTCCTCACGCGCGGGTCAAACCCCAGCTCCTCAGCCGTAGGCGTCGGCTGGGCCTGGGGCGTGTGCCCCGCCGACACGGCCAACGATATGTCAACCATCTCATGACTCTCCTCCCCCGCTGGGGGCGTGGTCGGCTGGGGCTGCCGCTGCTGGCCGTTGTTCCCAGGCGCAATGTGTACGGGGTTGCTGCTGGGGTGGAAAAGACGGGTACTGGCACCGGCGCTATTGCTAGCGTTCCCGCTACTCGGGTTGTCCGAGTCGGAGCTGGGGACGAAAAGGCCGGACCCCTGGGGGTTGGACGCGATCCACCACATCTTGGACTGTTCTTGTATTGTTTCGTAGGAGTGGGCGGGTGTAAGTTGTAAGGGAGGACAGTAAATTAGAGAAAAGGGCTAACGGGCGTGTAGCAACAAAGGTCGGATACGTCTGCTTGTACGTGTGTCTGTATACGAGGTACGGTTCGTGTGTTGGACTTGGTGTGTGTTCCCGGAGGACGGGACACAAGACTCGGTTTTTGGGATACGCAAGTGGAATCTCCAAAATGGGAATGGGGGAAGGGGTGACTGGCATTTTAAACGGGGTTTGTCGAGTATTAAAGAAGGCGTGACATGTCACATCCACCCATTTGGAAGGGGAGGAGTTTGATGCTAACAGAAGGAGCGTTCGAGTTACGTGGGTTGTAACTCCCATTTTGAGTTTAACATTTCTTTCCGGCAGAACTGCGGGAAACAAGTCAGGTTGAATTAGAATAAACTTCCAAAGTTGTCGTAGTGTTGCTGCCAGCGGACATCTCTGGTCCTGTAACCTTTCTCTCAGCTCCCTGGAATATCCGGTACAACACCCCGTGATGCCAACCTTAACACACCATGGACTTCATGTACGGAATCTTTATGAATGAACTCAACGAATTATTAGCAAAGCTAAAAGTGGCTATAATGGCCTAATACAGTGCTCATGCACCAAAAACGACGCAACTACTCCATGGGCGCAGACGAAAAGCTTCTCATCCGCTAAATCCCAGTTTCGTCGCCATCACGGTCTCCATCTATCTCCGTCTCCACGCCTCCAGCTGTCTCCGTCTCCACGCCTCCAGCTGTCTCCGTCTCCACGCCTCCAGCTGTCTCCATGTCCATATCCATACCTGCTCCCTTCTCCGTGTCGACGTCCCACTCCCACCATCCGCTTGCGCACAGTCTATCTGCGCTCGCGACCATAAAACCCACTCCCACCACTCCCCCTGCGGTTCTTATTCCTCCAAGAGTACCGATCCCGATACTCCAAAAACTCCTCCTCCTCATCCTGCTCCCGCTGCAGCGCCCTCAACCGCTCATCCTCCCTTTCCCGCTCCCTCATCCTCTCCCGGTCCTTCGTCTCCTCCTCCTTACCATCCCAATCCCTCACCTCCCTATCCCTATCCCTATCCCCATCCCTCCTCGGGGCAGCAGGAAACGGCCCACCGCTCTGCCACGCCTCGGCAAACTTCTCCATCTCGCGGACCAGCTCGGCGCCCGCCTCGCCCTCGATCTCCTGGCCGTCTTTACCGACCAGCACGGGAGCGAAGTCGTTGTAGGCGTTCTTGATGTGGCCGATGCGGAAGAAGTGCACGGCTGTCTTGCTGAGCCAGCTCACGCGGAAGGGGTCGCTGGCGTCGAAGTGGATGTCTTTGATGAAGGAGGGGCGGGGGACGCTGGAGGAGGGCGGGGTGATCATGCGGGCCTGTGGTGGGGGGTAAGGTTGTTAGTTATCTAGGTGTTCTGGTGATTGTATATGGTGATTGTAAGGAGTACAGGGGAAGGAAGGGGAAAGGGGGACGTACATAACCCTGGAAGGCCCGGCTCTTGTTGACGGAAAAGAACAAGATGACGTTCCGGCACTTGGCAAAGGCGTCGGCAAAGATTTGGCTGTTTTGGAGCTGGGTTGTCCAGATGCCCTGCGCTGGCGTTAGCTTCGTGGTTGAGGACGGCCAGGAAAGTTTTGCAAATCCACAAACTTACATCTTTCATGCACCGCTTCACATTCTCCGCGTTGAACGACTTGACAATAAAGAATCGCGAATCTATACCATCATCAGCCCACTGTTACTGCATCTTCTCAACACCACACTAGGCATGCAACGCCAACTGGTTGACAGCACTAGGTATAAATACTCACCCCCCTTGTGTCCAAGATCCACCGGAACCGGATACTGCGTCGAGCCCTCCAGCTCACGACGTCGGCTCTCGCCGTTGCTGGGCCCACTCTTGTAACTATCATACTTGCGCTCAAACCCCTCCTCTTCCTTGAACCGCGCCGGGCTGCCGTGGCGCCTGTGTGAGGACGAGTCCTGAAGAGAATCGTGCGAGGGCCGATGGCGGCTGTCATTGTTGTGACCGTTGCTGTCGCCGCTTCTATCATCACGGCGGTTGGTGGTATGGGCGTTATCACTGTCAGTTCTGCGGTGCGGGGCGAGCGGCGCGTCAATGCGGGGGACTTTGGCTTCCTTCTTCGGGACGGCATCATCTTCGTTGTCGTCGTGGGCTCGCTTAGCAGGATTCTTGCTGGCGGTGTCGCTGATGTTGCTGTTGCTGCTGTTATTGTCATCACGATTTCTGCTCTGTGCCTCTTCCTTAATCACGGGTACCGCCGTCGAGGCGCTGCCAGTCGACGGAGTGATAGGCGTCGGCAGAGTGTTGCTGGCCGAGCTTTGTGTGGACGATACGGCATGGCTGTTCATATTGTTATGAGACAATGTGCTCGAAGCGCGGGCAATGATGGGAGCAGAGCGCGGCAGGGCCATCTCGAGCTCCTCTTCTTCTCTGAGCTTGCGCTCTTCTTCTTCGATCCGCAGTTTCTCGGCCGCGAGCGCTTTGGCGCGGCGGAACCGGTCGAGTTTACGCGTTCGGGCTTCAGTGTTGTAGTAGTCAGTCATTTCAAGAAAGTCGCGGAGATCGGGGACCTGGCTCAATAGGCGGGTAAACGCTTCGTGGGATGAGACCGGCGATGTGTCGGGCGCAGGGCGGTTGGTACGGTTACCGTTGGTGCTAGAGTGGTCGTTGGTATCGGTCAGTTCAATGGTAGTACCTACCGGCTGGCGAGTGGTAGAACGCAATTGGTGACCACTTTCGACTGGGCTGCGGACTACAATAGGCTTCTCGGGATGTGTATCTGTATGGTCACTGGAGGGTTCCTGGTGGTTACCCGTGAACTTCTTCTCCGAAGGTTTGGGGTCGGCATCGTTCACTGCGACTTTGCGCTCCTGCTTTATTACAGCTGTTTCGGTTTTCGTTTCGGCTTTCGAAGCCGGCAGTTTGGGGGAATAGTGGTTGTCCTTGGTACGAGTCGCGGGCAGCACTTCGCCCTCCTCCAGATCGCCAGAGGCTACTTTAACCTGAGGTCGTTGCTGTGAGGACTGCACTGTCGATGATGATTGGGTCGGAACCGTCGTTGAAACTTCCTTTAAGAGAACACTCGGTGTCGAGGAACCGTTCGCATTAACTGTAGTTTTCGTAATTCGCATCACTGTTTTGCCGCGGTCGCCGTCCAAACCGCCAGCGGTCTCCGTTCCCGAATTGTCTTCGGCATCGGCCGAAATGGACGAAATTAAAGCCGCAATGTCATCCGCACTCGCAGGAATCGAGGTCGTTGCAAGGTGATGCGCCGAAATACTGCCGGGGATGGGACTAGAAGAGCTCTTTCCGCTCATCTCTCCCGGCGAAACACGCTCTTCTTTAGCCGGGCTGTGCAGAGAGGGTGAACTTCCAGCACTCAGCGAGTTCTGGCATTGGCCACGGCTTCTCATCAACTTTGCCTTGAGCTCGGCAGCTCGGGCATCCAACCCTAGTTTGGCGGGCAGACCGGACATGGTGATATGTTAAGCCCTTTCAGCAATTCCTATCCAAAAATGTCAGTGATCCGACGATTTAGGAAAAGGTGAGTGCGGGAGGGATGAGTAGGATTACAGGATTATCCGACGATATGTTGAACCGTCTGTAAATGGCGTCGAAGGTTCAGAAAAATTAAAGGGATGCAAACAAAGCGGTGTTATGCCCAGAAGTTTATGCGATGCACCGTCCGCGTTTTGATGGTGTTGCTGGTCGGTTATTGTTGTTGGTTGGGGTGCCCTCGCATTTCCAAGTTTGGTCGAGGAAAATTGTGATTTGGAGGCCAGGGTTATGTGGGAGATATGCGGTGCAAGGCCGGATATGTGACCTTTTACCTCTTGCCTAGAACGCAGGGTTTGTTTTGTTTCCTGTGGCTGGTGTGGTGAGCTTCCAGGTTGCGAGAACTGATCAAACTTGTGTTCCTTCCGGTTTGGAAAGTCACAACTTTGCACTCGTCCTAGCGGGAAAAATCTACACTAAATAAATGCTCGGCTTTCTGACTGTAAAGTAGTAAACTTAGACCGCCAAATGTGTAAGTGCGAATAATGAGAGGGAACTAGAAAGGGATTAAAAACTCGGTCTTGCCCAACTTTGAGATCCAGAGAATTGGGGTGTGAAGTCGGAATTCTTGAGTGGAGCGTTCGCTGATTGGTTACCATGAGCAACCCACAAGCTGCACACCACTGCAGGGGTTGTCTCGAATCTTTCCCCTTTCAGGCGGCTTCAACAAACTTCTGGATTTCCAATTTCGCGACTCCTCCCGACATGTTCGGTCCTTTTAGGAGGAGAGTGCTTTGAGGATACCCTCTAATTCCATCTAAAACTAGACCAGGTTTCTTTCGATTAAGTGTCAAGCGCGCTGTCCCTATCTACTTCAGATTTTCCCGTGCTCTCCCGACGCCCCAACGCCTCAACCGATGCCAGCTTCACGGAGACGCTCCTAGTCCACCCAGCCACCCAACCACCCAACCACACGGCCGGGCTTAGATGAGCCGAAGTTGAACTCCGCAGCGGTCCATCCATCGATGTCATTTGTTGGAATTGTGTGGCCCTAGAGACGTACAGGTATCGGCCATGTAAGTTGATTGGAAATGTCAGGTGGTAAAGATTTCGATGTGTAATTCACAGAATCTATTAGTGCATTTTTTGTTTTGCTTTGCTGTCAATTTGCTTTGTCATTTTTATCGTCATTGCTGTTGCCATTGATGGCATCATATTTTCCCAGTCATTCACGTTGTCGGTTGTCAATTTGATTGTCTAACAGGTTGTCAATTAGATTGACTAACACAGTTTCCTTTACATCGTTTTTACCATTCACATTTTTGTCATTCCTACAATCATACTGCCTGGGATATAGTCAGTTTGATAGATTATCATTTGCTGCAACCCCAAGTTCCTTTCTTACGGATCGTGTTAGCCATGCCTAAGGGGGGTGGGTCTCCTCCAGAGCTCCGACATCTCCATCCTCTCTCAACATGGGTTGTCTTTATTCTTCTTTGTGGTAGCATCGCCTGAGGCGGACGTCGTCTGCCCATGTTTGATTGAAATCTGCAGCTGTTTCCCCCTGTTTGTCAAATAAAGGCAAAGCCGGACCATAGACATTGGATGCGCTTTGTAGTCAAAGGAGGCGCAGCGACTGAGAACTTGCCTATATATATACACATGTACGCATGCCCGTCACGTAGGGATGATATGGACCGTGGCTATGCTGGGTAACTTTTTTTGGTACACCCGACTCCGTCATGAGGCCCGTCACTTCCTCTTGCCCGCCGCATGCGGCCAGGCGACGGGGGCCTCCACATGTGCTTGGACATAAAATACCCTATCTCCTGGCACAGGCTGCTGCTACTTTGCACCAAGAAAAGAAAATCACGAATCGCGCCCAATCATCCAAGTTTTCCAACCAGAAAGAATCCATGTCTGCTCATGTCTCCTTTTCGCAAGGCTCCCGCCTCCCGCCTACAAGCACGGAGGAAGGCCCCCTTGGCACTTTCGACATCTTGAACCTTCCGTCTCGAGTCATGACGCCACCTCGTCGGCTCCCACTCGACAATTCCCCGCGTGAAGCGGCAGAACAGGCCATCACAAACGTTTTCGGTGACGAGTTTACGGAGAAGGCCGTTGAGGTAGCCTCCCGCCTTGGCCTGAGGGACTCGGTCGCTTGGGTCAACTTGACATCACGGTTTTCTCGCTTTGACCCGTCGGACTCCCTGTTAACAGTCCTTGTTGCCATGAAGAACTGGGCAGCGGAAACTTCACCTGGCCTGTGGCAGGAAATTGTAGAGGAAACTAAGAGATATATCGGTATGTCTGCGTCTGGTGATTTACTTTTCTTTTCTTTTTTTCTTTTTGTTTCTTTTCCCCATTTTTCCCCATTTTTCCCCATTTTTCCCCATTTTTCCTTTTTCCTCTTTCCTCTTTTTTCTTTTTTCTTTTTTCTTTCTTTTTTTTCCTTTTCCCCCTTTTTTTCCTTTTTCCCCTTCTTTTTTTCCTTTTTCCTTTTTGCTCTTTTTTTCTTTCTCTTTTTCTTGTTGGGCTTTCGCTGACATGTTTGGGCATAACTATCTAGACAGCCGGGTTACCAACCATCCGGCCATCAGCTCACTTGACATAAGTGTTGAGGTGATCTGTGAGGACTTGGTCCGCGAAAAGTATTTCAGCAACCTTGACAATGACGATATGTACCTTCCGATTCTCGCGGCCTGGCCCGAGATCAAGGCGGGGGTTCACGACATCTTACAAAGCTCCCCGGCGACAGCCGATTGCATGACATGCATTGCACTTTTCAAACTAGGATTTGACTGGTTGTTTAACAACCCCAAAACAGTCTATATCTCCGTCTCTCACGATTCGGACGAGGCCGGATGGCCCCCTGTGTTGGCAGAGATACAATCTTTTCTAGATGGTTACGGTTTCGACCTCCACGGCCATATAGAACACAACTTTCCAAGCCCTCTAGCCGACCCAGGCTTTCCCCTTCTATCTGTCACAAAGGCCCTTACAGGGGCTGAAATCAGTGACAAGGTGAATCACTTCAACATGGCCTTGCCGCAACACCTGACGGCTAAAGTCAATGCGGGGGCCGACATTGGCGCATGCACCTACGTTCCCAAAAACAAGAGCCCCCCTGTTGGTAACGACGAACTTGCGAATCCGGCGGTTGGCACGCTAGGTTGCTGGCTGGAGATCAAGGTCCGGGACCGTGGATGGCGGACCGTAGGCCTGACCAACTACCACGTCATCCGACCTTGCTTATCCGGGTATCACATTGTCGAGGCTGGTGGAGGGCGCTGTTCGGGCCCGGTGGCAAGGGACACAGAGCTTTGGAAGGCGGATAAGGAGGGGCTGGGGACTGGTGCGGCCAAGCAGCTCCAGGTACAGGTGGAGAGTCCAACCCGGGCAAAGCTGAACTTCAGTGTCAGCGTGAATAGAGCTGGTGTGGAGAAGAAACGCAAAGAGAACCCCGATGCTTTTGCTACGGCCCGCATATCCGAAATGGAAGCTCAAGAAAAAGAGTGGCTTGCATTTTTCAACGATGAGAAGCACGTTCTGGGGAGGGTTTGCTTTGCCTCGGGCTACCTGCAACGGACCTCCCAAAATGGGAGGTTAGATTGGGCGCTGATCAACCCAACGAAAGATAGCCGTGTCGGGCAAAACTTACTCCCAACATCGGAAGAGTGGCAGGCTACCTGGGGTATGGGCGAATACCCTCACCGTACGGGTGTCGCCATCACGTCACCGCAACCAGGTAGCATGACGTCTATTCACGACATGAAGCACGGTGATGTTGTTTACAAGGTCGGTGCCTCAACAAAGTGGACGATCGGCGAATTTAATGGCTTCAAGGCCGACTGCGTCATCAAAGAGGAGCGGTACATGAACGGACAAGGACGCAAAGTGCCTCTCAAATCTACCGAGTTTGTGTTCATACCCAGCTTGGGGGCGTACAAGTTGGGGGTGCACAACTGGGGGGTGCCATTTGCCCGGTGGGGTGATTCTGGATCGGTTGTCTGGGACACAAACGGATGCGCAGTGGGATTATTGTTTAGAGGACAATCTCCCGCTCAATCCATGAATTGGTTCACGTACGTGACACCGATCGAGGACGTCTTTGCCAGCATCAAGGCCAGGTCAGGGGGGAAAATTGAGGAGATCCGTTTTCTAGGCGAGTCTTAGGACTTCCATCGTGGGGTCGATAGGTTGTGAGAGGATTGTGGGCAGGTGTTTTGGGTGTTGGTCTCGGAAAATGTAGGCATGGGCAATACAGGTGGTTTGGTTTTCTTCCACGTTTCTTCTTTTTTTAATATCAAAAAGACAAAAGTAATGACAATGAGAATAACAATGTGGATGACGAAGTGAGGGACAAAATCAATTAACTAGCACTGATATATTATGGTCTAAGCCGTCTAGACAAAGCCTCTGACGACTTCGTTGAAATTGTCAAGTCAAGACAATCTTTGGACAGTCAGCCTTGCCGTGCGGTCCTAACTAGTGTAATTACTACACTATGGATGTGAGCCATACAGGAACGGTGCCGGATAGCTGCTTGCCTTGGTGCAACGCGAATATCTAGCCGCGCTAACTGAGGAGGATTTGATCCGGTGGAAATTGAGGAGGGTCATCAGGATTCAGCGCTTACATGCTCTGTACTAAATATACTATGTCCTTCTCATAAACCCATGCCCCTCTAACCGAAGTGGGCTAGATCAGGTTAACACACAGCCACCAAATGTCGGAAACGACCGCATGCGGAAGTCACTTTCCCCCAGGCACGTCAGGCTGTTACCAAAATAGGTATGGCGATGCTTGAGCCGTTGGCTGACTGCTGGTTGGGGCTCTGCAAATCTCTTGGAGTCCGAGGTGAACACGGTGAAAATAAGCGTGTTGAATTTATTGGTTAAAACGCGTCGGTTCCTGTGCTCCACCAGTACCTGGTTAATACCTGAATTAATAGGTACCTACATACACATGCGAGGGATGCTTTTCCGAGGTTACCGATAATGTTCTTCTGTTTCATTTTTTTCAACAAAAAACAGCCTCGTCTCGTCAAGACGATATTGAATGAAGTTGTTAGGCGACAACCATCAAGTCATTCACCAACTTTGTGACTTTGTCTCTTCGTCTCTTCTTGAACTGGCTGCATTATTAAGTTAATAACAACACAAACTACCCGCAGTCATTATGGCAAAAAAGGCCCCCTCTGGCCCAGCGCCGCCGGTGCTTCGCAAATTAGGAATCAAGTAAGTGCCTGTTCTCACATGCTAGCATGACAGGATCTCCGGCCATCTAACCAACGACCACGTGTCCAGCGAGACATACCAATTGGCCATGTACCAACTGGACCAGTACCGCGGCACGACCGTCTCTTGTCGCTATGAAATACCACCTCATCTTGCAGCGGCAGAGTCACGGGCCCAATTGGAGGAGGCCGTCAAGGTCGCAGTCGTGGATATTATCATGAGACATCCGATGCTGCAAGTTGGCATGGTGAACGCAACTTCCAAGACTCCCTCATGGGTCCAGCTACCGAGCCTCGACTTGACGCAACATATCAAATGGCTGTATCTCCCAGAGCATGAAGACTTTGAGAACAAGGTGCAAGAAATCTTCTGCGCTCAGCTCGACGACCGTTTCCCCGACGTTGCCATCCGACAGCCCGACTGGACGCTTGCTATCATTCGGCAAGGGAATGCGCCCGTCATGGAGGTTTTACTCACTTGGAACCATCCCCAGTTCGACGCCATGGGCGCCAAGGTGATTCACGAGGACTTGCTCGAGAGACTCAATGCGCTCAACAAAGGGTCTCGCGAACGGCCAGGCTTGGACGGCGATGTCCTGACACTACCTCCAACGGCCCCCTTGCTCCCCACACCACTCGAGGGCTTGAAACGCCTCCCGGTGGATTTGAAATACCTGCTCAAAGCATTCTGGGAGGAAACCCGGCCCGGGTTCCTAAATCGCGACATATCCTGGGCGGTCTGGTGCCCGGTCCGCCCATCCCCATACAAGACCCAGTTCCGGACGTTCTTCATCGACAACGCCTCTCTGCTTGCGATCCAAGCTCTCTGCCGACAGAACCAAACCACCATCACCGGACTTATAAACGGATTAGCGCTTATTGCCTTCTCATCCCGCCTCGACGCCGCGGCCGCCCCGGCCTTCCAAAGCTCCACCGTCGTGGATCACCGCCGGAATCTGCCTCCAGCCCCCCAGCCGGACGCTCCGTGGGGCCGATCCGACAGAGCAGTGAGCAACTACGTGACGCAATGCCTGCACAAATGGGACACAGCACTCGTGGCGCGGGTTCGCTCCAAACTACCAGTACCAGTACCAGTACCAGCTGGTGATGAGGATGCCAGTCAGGAGGAGGGGCTCGGAAGAGATCTATCCGCCGACCTGCAGCGCGAACTCTGGGATCTGTCGGCACAGAATCGGCGGGAGATAGTGGATAGGCTAGAAGCCGGGCTGCGGAACGATGTGGTCGGGCTGTTCCAGTATGTGACGGACTGGAAACAGACTATGAAGGGCATGGCGAATAGGACGCGCCAGTTCTCGTGGCTGGTGACCAACATTGGCGTGCTGGACGGCGGCAATGCATCAACGACAACAACAACAGCGGGAGGTGGTGGTGATGGTCAGAAGTGGTCGATCGGCCGAGCGCAGTTTGGACTCAGCACCGAGGTCCCCGCTGCAGCCATCGAGTTTTCCCCTGTTAGCGTTGCCGGCCGGGGAATGTCTGTTAGCGCCAGCTGGGCGGATGTCGCGGTGGATGTGGCAATGGGAGAGGGCATCATGGCTGATCTGGAAAGGTGGCTCGGTCAACTTGCGAGGTGATTCAATCCTCCTGGTGTGCCTGCTACAAAGGCGGACCTTTTAGTGTATCCTTCAGGGCAGACTCTTGCGGTAACTGCGTCAAACAAATCGTTCTCGAGAGGAGGGAGAAGAGAAATACGCCCTCGCCAAGCCCGGGGCAAACCCCCTTTTATGCTAGGGCCTTGGCGCTGTTCAGGTGCAGCCCCTTCAGCTCAATCCTGCCGCGCAGGAAGCTAACTAATTATACCTAATGAATAGAAATTTCCTGATCATCGCGGCTGCCTACGAGAGACGCAGAGCGCAGTCAAACAGCACATCTCAAGCTAACCCGATAACATTGGCTTGTGAGCGAGGTTTGCCTCTCAACTTCACGGAAATAGCCGCCCAAGCGACCCCAAGGAACAAACCCCAGCACCATAACTCCGTCTGAATGGCGCGCCAGCTCAAGGGCGTGGGGCCCCCATCCGGCATACACATGCGACCACGGGGACTGTTCCCCGGACAAGAATGTGCCGGGCTTTAGGGCTGCTGCGCCGTGCCGGCAGCGGCCGCTCATCACCCTAGATTTGGAGGGTTGGTCCGAGGGCGCGGAGGAGCAAGGCGTTGTGAATGGGGGCCGGCAATGGGGGCCGGCAATGGGGGCAGTGTTGGAAGAGAGCTTCAGAATTGATTTTCGTTCGTTTCGTTTCGTTTCGTTTTCTTGTTGAAATGAGCTGGCACCGCCAGACTTGAACTTGATTCAAACCAATTCAACATGAGGTCCTAACAAGTGTGAACGACTCAACGACATATGAATTGACACAACATACTTCGGACTCTCAAACACCAGAGATAACTCAGAGTTAACGTCAACATATTCAACAGTAACTACCAATTTCATAAAATTCAACACGAACCACAAAATACACGATGCCCCGCAACGGGCCTCGCAAGGCAGGCAAGCCCAGAACGCAAATCGACTACAGCGCCTTGGAAATCGAAGAGGACCAGTACCAGAGTAAGTGACCACGAATCACCCCTTTTTCCTGGAACAATAAAACAAAAAGAGAGAGAGTATCTGGATAGTTGACTGTACTAACCAACACCCCAGCCGCCCCCGAGTGCAAACAAGCCATCGTCCTCTCCGACTGGGTCCGCAAATGGACCCTCGCCAAATACATCCTCCTCGGCATCCTAGGGATCGGCCTGCTTGCCGCCGCCTTCTTCTTAGCCGTCGCCCTAGCCCTCATCATCCGCGCCGTCACCACCGACAACACCGGCTTCGACTCCTCCCACCCGGACTTTGCCCTCTACAAAAACACCCGCTTCAAAGCATGCTCCTCTTCCACCGGCAGCCCCGACACAACGCTACTAACCGAACCAGAATGCGCCATCATCCGCGCCAACCTCACAGCCTCGTCCGGCTCCGACTTTGGCTACCTCGACCGCGACCTGATCTCTTCCTTACCTGCCAGCAGCAGCAGCAGCAGCAGTAACACCAACACCACAAAACACACCTGGTGCGCCCTCGCCACCTGCCTCTCCACCTTCACCGTCCTCCCCTCCACCCCACTCCCAGCAGCCACCATCCTCCCCCACCTCCTCTGCTGGTGGACAGTCATGGCCACCTCCGCCGGCGCGCTCTGGTCTGCAAGCCGCATTTTACTCTCCGCCTTCCAGACCACACCTGGTAGTAACAGCAGCAAACCCTGCCGCGGCCGCCGCGACATGAGTATCCTCGACTGGCTCTTCCTCGCCTACGACCTGCTCGGTCCCATTCTCCTCTGGTGGGTATCCTTTGGGCTATTCGCGTCTTCCCCGGCACAGTCGGCTACGGTAGCTATTACGGCGTGGGTAGCGGCTTGGAAGTTGGGGGCGGTCATGCGGTATCATCCGTATTCGTGCCTGTTGGGGCAACTAGGGGAGGGAGCGAAGAAGTGGGTGCCGAGGGGGTTTCAGGGAATGGCGTTGTTGCAGTGGGCTGGGGGGGTGTATGTGATGGTGGTGTATTTGGGGGAGTTTGGGGGGAAGGGGGATGGGTTGAGGGGGTATGAGTGTGTGAGTGAGGAGGTGGGGAAGGTGTTAGGACAGGGCCAGGCGAATCCCGTCGGCGAGTGTTCGGCGGAGGAATTGTGCGGGCGGGAAGGGTTTTTCCGGAATAGGGAGTATAGGGCTGCTGAGATGTTTACTGCCGATGGGCGGTTTGCGTTGATTGCGTATTTTTGGATCTGGACGCTGATGGCTGTGTTGCCGTTTGTGTTTTTGCTGATCGGCTGGCTGGGTAATAAGTTGGTTGGGGACTCGGCAGAGAAGGTGAAGGAGGATGCGCGGTACTTGTGGAAGGTGTTTAACCCGGGGCCGAGCTTTTATCTGGCGTTTGCGTCGTTCATCAGCATCTTTTTTAGTGTCTCGTACGCGATTCATGCGGTACAGACGTGGAATGATGCTAGCGGGTACAGGGAGGGCGTGGTGATCTTTCATGAGGGGTGTCAGGCGCTGCATGTGCAGTTGAGTCCGTGGAGGGACTTTCTGGACCTGAGCGACTATGCGAGAGCGTATCGGATTGTCAAGATGATATTTGTTGCTTGAGGGGATTAGAAATGTGGGAGCGTTTCCGAAGTACAGTTGTTAGTCGATCGAAAGGATATGGCTAGGTAAATGTTGGGATGAGATACCAAGTTATGGAGTTTGATGATGTAAAACATAGGGGAGAATTCAAAATCATATTCAAAACCATATCGTTCAGCAGTATTGGCCCGTTCCAGCGCCGCCAACTCTTCTTCATTGATATAGTTCTAAAGTTAGCAAAGGTACCTAGGTATGCAGGTAGGCTCCGGAGCCTGTTGCACATGTCAGGTCCGCTCCATGGTAATCACCGGATGGCGAATGTCTTGTTGGCATCTGTAACCCCTTTCGTGACCGTCGTCGTCCGTAATCATCCGGTTGTCCGGTTACTATGTAGTCCGACCAACTGAATCAAGCACAAGAATTACCGCGAGAAAGAGGAGGCTATTCTTGTCATCTGATATCCTGAGGTTCCAAACCCAGTGTTCCATACCTTTCGAGTCCTCACCCACCCGTCGGCTGGTAGGATCGTCCGGTTAGTTCTTCAATTCATGTTACACCCGCTGCCTTCGATATTAAGGGCTCGGACAACAATACTTATTCACCGCTTTCATTATTAGGGCGGTTAGGTAATCGTGGCCATCCGTGTTAGAGTAGAATGAACACCGGCTTAAAGTTGTCTAGTTTTTGTTTTCAATTGTTTATCTCCCTTTTTTTCCGGTTGGTTCACGTATGACGGGACAAGGTCGAAGTATAGTTTGCATATTTCTCTATTATTGGAGACTACCTAGGTATGATAGTCTGCTCGCCCGGGGGTGTGTTGATTGCTGTCAAACTCCGGACTTAGAACTTACGGAGAAAGCTAATTAACTACCTAAATAATTACTGCTTCCAGTATTAAAATCCAAGCTTTGAGCTTCTACTATTTTCCCAACTCTTTCTAGCTCTGTCCCCCCTTTTATCAACCCCCCCTCGTTTGCTATCTCTTTTCCGTCCCTTTTGCTCCTTTGTTTACCCGACTTGTTTCTGCCCCTCCAGCCTTCAATCGGAGAAAGAATTAGTTCCTCAACTATGAACCGCCTCTGGCCGCCAATGCTGCAGCAATCTATTTAGACCAGTGAACAACAGCCTTTAACGGCAACTTCGGGCCGCGACTTCCACAAGCTTGTCCGATAATACACAGGAGGTTGGCGTATCTCGACCAATGGCTGGGAGCTATGAATTGCCGTGGTGAGTTGAGGGAGGAGCGATGGAGGCATTTGGCGCCATTTTTTCTGAATGAGAAGTCCGTGCGAGTGAAGCCTGAAGGGAAAAGTGAAATCAGTGGGGCAAGGCAGGTGCAGGTTGTGCTCGGTCTCGTCAGATCGGCAGGGCCTCTCCGCAGCGATCAGTCGGGTCCTCATCCCTCACAGGCCCGGGGCATTTCCCAACGTATCTCGTCCTTCTCTCGAATCGGAGTCGAACAATCCCAATTCTGCTCGATCGCCCGCCAAACCGACTAAGCTCGCCCTCAAGGACACACACACCACAATGTCACAGCGATGACACACAATGGAACAGTGGGATGACGGCACGATGAGACGATGCAACTCTCGAACGATGGAACGAGAACTCGATGGGACACCACGACGATGCCACCCCTCCCCCCTCACGACCAGGGTTTATCTCGAGGCTCGCCAGGGAGTGGTTTGGGAAGGGGTTGGCACACCACACACCCCTTTTGGCCAGGCCAATCCAAAGAATCCCCCTCCGCGATTCAGATGCCGCGTCTGCGCTTTGAAGCTATAGGAGTCGGATTATAGCAGGTGCAATCCTCGAAAGTGCAGAATCGCGGCACGAATTCGCAAGCTCCAGAGTCAAATGCGGGAAGTCGGACGCGGCCACCCGTTCCTCTACTGTATACCTTTGCCTCTGCCCGCTTCCTCCCGGGCTCTGTACTGGTGATGCCAAATGCAGATGCGGACGCATTGAAGCTCCATCTCATCCGGGACGACGCTGGTGCGGAGAACGGCCGCATCCCGGCTGACCCGGTGGAGTCCGGCATCTTGATGAGTGCCTGCATCCTGTGTGTGGTACACGAACACACAGCCAGCCGTTAAGCTATTCTAGATTCGGACTCTTCCATTTCTCCTAATCCGGATTCATGTTTCTTCTCCCAACTCCAAGCTGGGTTCGCTATGCCAAACGCCTACCCTTTTGCCCAAAATGTCACAACGGAGGACAAGGTGACAGCAGGGCAACAAACCAAGCTTTGCCTCCAGTCCTGTTTTTTCACATTTCCACACCTTCACATGCGGCTAGACGCAGACCGCGTTCCCACGACCGACCCAGCCGTCGGGGAAAGTAGGCGAGCTGCGCCCGGGCCGGCAGGCGATGTCGCGGCAAAGTTCGCAACTCGCTTCGACATCATTTCGGAGCTCTAGAGCAAAAGCTTTGCACCTTCTCAGTTTGGCAATCGCCGCAGTTGGGACACGGGATAAAGTCCGAACGACGAACCCAATCTTGTCTCACAGACTTCTGGCCCATAGTCACAATCGGACATCTTTGCCGCCCCGAGTCTGAGAAGGCGAACTTGACATTTTTTTGGTCTCAGTGTACACCTCTGGAGTGTGACGAAAAACCGGTCAACACCCAGTCGACCCTTCGCATTCCCTCCTCCTCCGCCTGCGCCTTGGTTTGGGTACAGTGCATGCCAACAGGAAGGGGAAGTCCAACTGTCCAACAGCCTCGCAGCCTCTTCAAACCGGCCGGCCCGGCGATGTGGCCACTTCTCCGCACGACTATCGGCTTCCCCTCATCCTGCAAACCCCGCGCGGCGCCATTGATATGACTGTGATCTGGGCCACATGACGAAAGTGCGTGGTCCAGCTTTCTGCGATAGGCTGATTCGTGTTCAATTAGTATGCGTATTTGACACTTCGTTGCCCGCTAAGCCGACAACAATGGCCCAGCTCCGGTTGAAATCTCAACGAGGACAAGCCTCGTCTTTTTGCAAGCTCAAGCCGCCGAGCGCAAAGCCCAGGAGCGAGATTGGAACAGCGGTCGCTGTAACGCTGGTCAAAGGTGTGGCGGATGGGTGAGCCAGGGGTCCAGCCCTCCCACACACTTGACATTCCCGCGAGCCGCTGTTACATCGCGTCGAGCATGCGACAAAACCAATCATGGATGCTGGGCACACCTCCAAGGCTCCGAATCAACCAAGGACCCAATCTTGCCAATCTCTTGTTCATTGTCCACGAGGGCCAGCCAGACCAAGGAAAGCTCACCGCGTGACAAGGGATGCATGGGAGTGGGCGACGGGTTGTTGTCGAAAAGCGAGTGGGCGCCGCGTTCGCGCGTTCGCCCGGGCGCGGCCCTTGACCAAACTGTTGCATCCACTTCCGGGCTGAGCCAGGTTCATGACCGTCCCTTCGGTTCGGTACCGGAATCGATCGCACCATCCGTTGCTGCACAGCGGTTTGGGCCCAGTCCCTGCGGCCCACACCCAAGATCCCGCGTTGTGAGTTTCTGGAGAATTGGAGACTGAGAGGGGAATACAACAAGAAATAATGTTGCTCTTGCAATTTCGTCGCCCCGTCCATGAGGAATTTGCACTCGGCTTCGCTCGTCGTCCGGGAAGAGATTAACAAACCTGCTATCGAGCTGGGCGGTTGTGTCCCCCCCGCCTGCCACTCATCCTTCCAGGACTCCGTTTAGGAGGTCTGAGCCGGCTCGGTGACGTCCATCATGATGTCAGCCTAGCGCCCACCCATCGGACTCCGTTCCAGCTTCTGATATGGATCGGCTTGCCGATCGTTGACAACAACGTGGTGTTTCCATTTGATGAAGCTGCGTCACCGCGACACGTGCAACATGTGAATTGATTACTTTGATCGGCGTGGTCACCAAGTCTTCTTCGGCACTCGGCAGCAATGAGGTTTAGGAGGGGGGTGTAGGATTGGAAAAACATCCTCAGCTCAAGATCCGCAGGGCGGGGGGTTGCTTCTGGCAGGGTCGGACTTTCTTCGCCAATCATGGATGACTACGCGTCGTGGAGTGTCGTGCACACTATTCCCTTTCAACGCGCTTCGACATGGAGGGATTCAACAGTTGTGTGACGTTGATGCGAAGAGGGACGGCTCACTGGAGTCAGAGTGTCTGACTTTTTTTTGAGACATCACGGTGTAAGGCTGAGACAGCACTCAACGGCATGACCACTCATGAGTCATGAGCTCGGTGAACTTCGTGTCTGGCCAACTCACCTCGAGGCATAACTATTGAAAATCAAACGGCAAACACGACAGAGAGACCTCTTGCGAAATGAACATCCAACGGCCAATCTCGAAGGACGAGACCTCCCAGGGGGCAAATCGAGATTAGGCCGGCACAAATAACATGGACCATTGCTATCCCTGTAACCAAAGTGCTCAGGTATCCGCGCACACCACTGCCTGCTGACAAGCACCGGGGAAAACGCAAATTCCCGTGAAACCCACCACTTGACGGGCCTCAAGCAAACTTATTAACTTGGCGGTGACCGGCACAAATTCACGATAGTTAGTGATCCGCACGATTTCCTTCAAAATGAGAGCTGACCACCACAACGGGCAGACCCCCACCCTGCCTGGCCCCCCTGGGGCAGGAGGGGAACACCAAAAAGACGGAATAATGCCAATGAGGAAGGAGCAAACTTGAGAATTAATCAGCCAATATCCAGACCGGTGAGGCTCCCTGTTTACCAATCGGAAGTCCAGCGCTGTCTCGGCACGGGCGCGCCTTCCATGCCCGCGGGGTTTCCGAGAAATTGGGGACGATGGAGGGGGACCAAGGAGCATTCGATCCCGGGAGCGGGCCGATCGTGACCGTCCATGCGTACTCTGTAGGGTGAGAAACGGAGGGTGTCAGCGGTGAACCAACCTTAAGGACTGACACGTCGACTGACATGGAATGGCTGCAAAGTGAGAGGGGGACGACAGATCGGTCAAACTCTTTGGATCATCACGCTTTCCAAGAGTGCTACTGTGTTTCCGCAGCAAGTTCTTAAA